CTCTCTTTTGCTTTAGATGGGAAGAGACCAACAGTTGTATCTTAGATGCCCACTTGCAAGCTTTTAAGACCCCAGACACTACTCACCAACCTAGGATGTAGAACATGATCTTTATGAACTATGTTATGCCAGTTGACCAAGATGTCCCCAGAGACTATGGTCCTTAGCCTTCAAGCCCAGTAGCTCACTCCCTCGAGCTTTTTGGATATGTCTAAGAAGTTCCTATAACTGGGCCCCTATGTGCTCTATTATATATGTGAATATACATGCAGCATATGCAAATACATATGTAGAAATATCCACAACCATACCTGTATATGCATGCGGGTGTACTCCCGTACGACTTCCCACACCAATTTAGCATACATATCTACCCACGTATCCACTTACAAATTGTTTGTTATTACTGTTGTTGCAGGATTGTACATGTTATAGTATTTACCATAGTTGCCCTTTATTCTTGCATACCTTTTGATGTCTTCCTTTGCGTTGGTCATGTTGTGCTGACTTCTTCTGTACTGTGCATTGCCTTTCCTTTCACCAGAATTAACATGTATCTACTATCTATTTAGTGAGTCTTCCTCCCTTTCCATCCCATTCCTGGTAACCATCAAAGAATGCTTCTTTCTGTTTGTAAACCTATTCTTGACTTTTTATAATAGTGGTCTCATACAATGTCTGTCCTTTTGTGATTGACTTATTTCACTCAGCATAATTGGATATAAAATTCTTGATTCATACTTTCACTCATTGAATTTCTGGAAAATGCTGCTCCATTTTTCCCTTGCTTTGTATGTTTTTTTGAGAATTCTGATACCAGTCTGATTCTTTTGCCCTTGTACATTATTTGATCTTTTTGCTTGGAGATCTGAAGGATTTTTTTTTCTTTATCTTTGAAGTCTAATCGTTTCACTGTAATATGTCTCAGAGTTGATTGTTCTGGGTTAATTTTTCTGACATCTGGCATGTGTTTTCAATATGTAGAATTGTGTCGTTTTGATTTCCAGAAATTTTTCATGGATTATAGTTTTAAACTTTAGTTTTGTCCCACTGTTTTTCTTCTTCAGGGAGCCCATTTTTTTTCTTGTTTTACATTTTCATCGCTTTCTCTCTGACTCTTACTTCTTTCAATAACTCATTTTCATTCTCTTGCTTGGTTTCTTGCTTTTCTTCAATACTCCCTATTAAATTTTTATTTTAGTGTGTTCTCCATAGGACTTTTATGTGTTGATTTTACCTTTCTTCTTCCATTTTTTTCCATGAGTTCAATCAACTCTGTTTTTATTTATTCCTCTTTTATGTCCATTTCTTTTCTTAGTTTTTGAAATTCTGATTCAAGGTGGTTTTCTTTTTCACAAATGTTTATTTGTGTATATTTAATTTAGTTTGGAGTGTTGGCTTAGTTTTCTTCTGTGTCATGATTGACTTTTTTGGAAGTGGAATTTTCATTATCTAAGGAGTGTTGATTCTCATGTTCTGATATTTTTGAAGTAACTTTGTATGTAAATTTGCTTAGTTTACTTCTATTCGTTTTGTGGATTTGAGGTTTTGTAAGATTTCTAGTTCAGTGATACTCTATTCTGTCAGTGTAGCAAAGTTGTTTCTCTAGATTTTTGTGTTTTTTGTTTGTTTTTGGTGTGTTGAGGAGTTAAATGCCCTCTGATTTTTTGTTTATTTTTCTGTCTTCCAGAACATTAATTTTTCCCTTTTGCTTCTTTTTTTCCATCACAACCCAGTTGCCAAATACACTTTGCCATTCCATTTTGTTGTTTTCTCCCCCAAAAGCTATGTGTTTCGAAGATTGTCACTTCACATTGTATGTATTTTAAGTCCCTGCCCTGATCTACCAGGACATGTTTAAAATTTTTTCATACTTAGTGTGGACTTCTGTTTCTGGTAATGGTTTTAGAGACATTTTATACTTGCTGCTAGCTCCCTTGTTTACCTTCCTAATAGCTTTTCTTTGTTTGTTCTTGCTCATGACAAAGGCTGGTGGTGTGAACGTGAGAGATTGTTTGCTGGGATTTAGTGTTATTTTTCCTATTTTACTTAATGTTATTTAAAGTTTGGGTATTCTCTATCTTCTAGTTATGTTGGAGGCATGATTTTTGTGTAGTTTAATTCTGTATTGTTTTTGGAGGATATATGGGCATGCAGACCTAGGCAGTTGTCATTGTCTTTGGTTACCTGGATGTCTTTTTTTTTTTTATTTAAGAATTTATTTTTATTTTTTTCCATACAAAAATTTATACAGACATTGTTATGTGACTCTAATTGCTCTCCCCATACTGTGACAGCACACTGATCCTTTCCACCCCTGATTCCCCATGTCCATTCACCCAGCTCCTAACCTTCTCTGCCTTCCCATCTCACCTCTGGACAGAAGCTGCCTGTTTAGTGTCTTGTATCTATTTGAGCTAAGAGGCACACTCCTCACAAGTATCACTTTATGCCCCACAGTCCCGTCCAATCCCTGTCTGAAGAGTTGGGCTCGGAAATTGTTCTAGTTCTGGGCTGATAGAGAATCCAGGGGCCATGCTTTCTGGGGTTCCTCCAGTCTCAGTCAGACCATTAAGTCTGGTCTTCTTACTAGAATTTGAGTTCTGCACCCCATCTTTCTGCTGCTCCATCCGGGACTCTCTGTTGTGTTCCCTGTCAGGGTGGTCATTGGTGGTAGCCGGTCACCATCTAGTTCTTCTAGTCTCAAGCTGATGAAGTCTCTGGTTTATGTGGCCCTTTCTGTCTCTTGGGCTAATACTTTCCTTGTGTCTTTGGTGTTCTTCTTTCTTCTTTACTCCAGGTGGTTGGGACCAATTGATGCATCTTAGATGGCTGCTTGCAAGCTTTTAAGACCCCAGACGCCACTCACCAAAGTAGGAAGCGGAACATTTTCTTAATAAGCTATGGATGTCTTTTTGAAAAGTTGCATTTTGGTCTGTCTAACAATTCACTTCAGTATCTGGTATTCATCATATCTGGACACTTTAGTCAAAAGTTTTACTATAATCTGTCACAGATACTTGTGTTGTCACTCAGAAAGAATGACTAGGAAGATGTTGAAAAAAAGGAGAGATATAGACAAAAGAATTTCAGAGGTACTTATACCAGGTAGGAAACCTTGGTGGCATAGTGGTTAAGTGCTAAGGCTGCTAACCAAAAGGTTGACGGTTCAGATCCACCAAGTGCTCCTTGGAAACTCTATGGGGCAGTTCTACTCTGTCCTATAGGGTCACCAGGAGTCGGAATTGACTTGACAGCAACGTTTTTTTTTTTTTTTTTTTTTAATACCAGGTATACTTTACTCTGTAATGAACTGCTGTTTTTGTCTCATATGTTTTTTTAATTGGTTCAATATAACTTCTTCTATATCCTGAACATTGAAATATGTTAATATATGTGGTTGATTTAAACTGATCAGTAAACTGGAGTATGATGTGATGGTTTGCTGGGATGCAGTTTGGTTAAGTATTTCAGAGATGAAGGGATCTCAAGTTCTAACATACCTACAACCCAGAAATCTTCCTGTGACTACACACTACTGGATTTCCTTTGTGGCATTGGCTTGTTCATAAGATTTGTAGCTCTATTTATTGAACACACACCTGGTGTGTCTCAGGCATTTTATCTACATTGCAACTAATTCTCATAATAATCCTGTCATGTAGTGGAGCTAGGAGAGGATCACAGCAGTTAAGTAATTTGTCCAAGTTCACAGTGCAAACAAGTGGTGGAACAGAAGTCAACTGTGGGTTTTTCTAGCTCTAAAGTGTCCATTCCACTGTAATGGTTTGTCTTATGATGGGCAGAGCCGTTTTCATTAACCTGCCAAATGTGAGCAAAAACCATTTCTTTGCTTCGTGATTTGTCACATTCTTATAGTAGCTGAGGATAGACTCCTTAAGACTTGACAATGTCCACAGCTGGAGTATTTGGGGTCACTTGCAGCATGCATGCCAGTAGGTCAGTAGCAGTCAGGGCTGTCACTTGAAAATTACTGACTATGCAAGGACTTTTATTAAGGGATTGTCAGTTTATGGGCGCCTAGGGAGGCTGCTTAGCTCAGACAAATGGTGCATCCAGACCCATCATTTGTTAGTGAATGTGCTGCCATGTAGATGGAGGTTGCCCAGGCCCAGCTGTGAGTGAGGGATATTGGCGCAGCCTTGCTGTTCCACTGAATCTGCCTCAGTTCTTGGACTTTCATTCACTTACCACTGTAGATGTGGTTGCGGTTTGTCTGGAAAGCTCATCTCCAAGTTCATTTGGGTCCAAGATTTGCTTTCAAATGGTTCATGGCAGTGGTGCCTTCCATGTGAGGATTTTTATTGAAGCATCTTAGGTAGAGGCAAGATGGTTAGTATTTGCAAATGCAATTTTAATAGGAACCTTGAGAATTTGCTGATTATGTGAAAGAATGAGTGGCAGATGAGGGAGTACTGAGACTCAACCATTTGTTTTGGCTCTGGAAATATTTCTCTTGTGCGCTCTCTTAAGGGATACAGTCAACATGGCCACTTGTACCATTAGTCATTGGCAGCTGAAAGGACACATGTGTCTTTAGGTGAACTCTCTTTACAGTGAGATCATGAGCTTATGGCTTGCTTAGCTCCTTGTGATTTCAACGAGTCATAACACCCCTGGAACTTAACTTTGTTTCCTGGGCCAAAGCATCCTGGTAGAGTGGATCATTCACCCAGTGCATTTCAGTTTTTTGGAAGTATGGTTCTGTAATTTGCCACGTTTTCATGTAATACTTATCTTTCTAAACTTTATCCAGGAAAATATTTAATGGCCAAGAGTGACGTACCTAAGCAACTCTACGTCTCATGGTTTCAGTTTCCTAAATCTGTAAAATGAGGAAATTGGATTCTATGATCTCAAAGGGCCCTTTTTGTTCTCAACGCTATCTTTGTGCAACTTGGCAACACCTTCTTCTTTGCATGTAGCAGGTGTGGGAATTTGGATAATGTCACACCCATCCTTTGCTCTCCCCTGTCTAGGTGTGTGCACGGGCAGCTCTACCCGGCACATCGTGACCTTTGATGGAGAGAATTTCAAGCTGACTGGCAGCTGTTCCTATGTCCTATTTCAAAACAAGGAACAGGATGTGGAGGTGATTCTACATAATGGTGCCTGCAGCCCACAGCAGACGTGCATGAAATCCATTGAGGTGAAGCATGATGGCCTCTCAATTGAGCTCTACAGTGACATGGAGGTGAGAGGTACTTTCTGTGGGTCCTGTGGCAAGACAGCTGCAGAACCTCTGGGAAGCCACATGGACCTGGTGGGAGCTGGTTTTAGCTGGTGCTCCTGTTAACTGGCAGAGCACCCTCTCCTTAGGAGGGGCTTATAACTGTCTCCCTTGTCTTGGTGCAATTTCATGTTGTTCTGGGCCCAGATTTGGAAGAAAGAATCAGCTTTAGACAGCGTTAAACTGTGAATTCAGTGTCAGTTTCTGGCGCTGGAAGAGAATCGAGGTTGACATCAGGGCTGTTTATCCACTAGGCTTTATGGGCCCAGTGCGTAGGGCCTGCAGGCTTTTCAGTGATGTTTGAAATTATTTAGGGCCTGTACAAAATTTATGGCTCCAAAATTTGAAAATAAAACTGCAAAACTGAATAAATAAATGTTTAATTAATGTTTGCAAAAGGTTACATTATGCCAGCTTCATTACTTGTTTAATTTAGAAGTCATAAATATTTCATTACACATTTGAAAACAATTTGTAGGTTAGATTTCTCACTTTGCAAACATTTCAGAATATGCACAACAATTGCTGAAAAATCATAGCTAGTTGTATATTACATGAGTAACTCATGGCCAAAAAATTTAAAATCAGAATGGTAAAAACCATTCTAAAATATTTACAGCAAAACTACATTTATTATGGCATGTGATTATATCTGAATACGTTTGCTATGATGTGGGGTAAAGCCTCCAAAGTAAGAGTTTCTAGTGACCAAAAAAAAAAAAAAAAGACTTAAAATAGTCCTGTTAGACACTTCTAGAGATAATTCCCTGGTGACTTTGTACAATGGAAACTTTCCTAACCTGTCTTTAAGGGGTTGTTATTCTCTGTTGAGAGCACATAGACTCAGGGTTCACTTTTTTAACACCCATGGCCCTCTGTACAGTATTATAATAGCCTGCTCTTCTGTCAAGCTGTATAAAGCCCCTTTTCAACAAGAGCTGCTGACAAATATGTGGGTTTGTAGATAACACTGGAATTGAGAGTGATTAACATGCAGGGATTATCAGTAACTTCAGTAAGAAACAAATACTGGAGTTCAAGGATTCCTTATTGTTATGACTACTGATGAGCTCATTTTCTTCTTTGGGCAGGTGACTGTTAATGGGAGACTGGTGTCTGTCCCTTACACGGGTGGGAACATGGAAGTCAGTGTTTATGGTACCATCATGCACGAGATCAGATTCAACCATCTTGGCCACATCTTCACATTCACTCCACAAAACAATGAGTTCCAGTTGCAGCTTAGCCCCAAGACCTTTTCTTCAAAGATGTATGGTCTCTGTGGTAAGAACATTTTCTCCATTCCTCCCTTACTTACTGTACTCTCAGGACTCTTGGATGCTTGCATATCTGGGTCCTGTAAGAAGGACTATGGTTCAGACCCTGGTAGGGATAGAGAGCAGCCAGGTCTCTGGCATCAATGTGTTGGCACTCAAGGCTTCCAACCTTCCCTTTCCTTGTTTCGTTAGGAATCTGTGATGAGAATGGGGCCAATGACTTCATGCTGAGGGATGGCACAGTCACCACAGACCAGAGGACATTCATCCAGGAGTGGACCATGCAGCAGCCGGGGCAGATATGCCAGCCCATTCCTGAGGAGCACTGCCCTGTCTCCAGCAGCTCCCACTGCCAGGTCCTCCTCTCAGCCCTGTTTGCTGAGTGCCACGAAGTCCTTGCTGCAGACACATTTTATGCCATCTGCCAGCAGGACAGTTGCCACCGGGAGCAAGTGTGTGAGGTGATTGCCTCGTATGCCCACCTCTGTCGGACCAATGGGGTCTGTGTTGACTGGAGGACAACTGATTTCTGTGGTAAGTCTCCATATGTACCCTTCAGAATCCTCAAGACCAACTAGCTGTGGGCTCATTTAACCTCTCTGGGCCTCAGATTCTTTGAGTAATGAAGTTCAAAATCCTTGTATTTCCTATTGCCTAGGATTCCAGTTAGGATCAAATAAAATGGTAGATGTATAAATAATTCAAATACAAAATTTCTATGTAAATCAAAGCATAGTTCTTTCTATTAGTATTTCTGTAGTTGTGACTAATGTGATTTTAATTAGAAACGTAGAGGCCCCAGCAAAGTACAATGTCATCAGTCACTATTGAATTTGAAATTCCACCAAGTTTCAGCAAAGGCTCACAGAGTAGGCCATGCCTGAGCAGGATTTTGAAGTATGAGTGTAATTCTCTTCTTAAATACCAAGAGTCTTCTTAGTTACAAGTAGCACTGGATGGGTAGTGTCAGTCTTTTCCCCTCAAGGTCAGCTTCTTACTTGGACTTTGCATTTATTCATTATTCAATATATAGGGGATACCAAAATGAGTCAGATATGGATCCTGCCCTCAAGGGGTGCTGAAGTAGAAAGAACACTAAATTTCAACCTCCTCAGTTATCACATAGAATCCTTGACTTTTTTGAGGGAAATCAGTATGTACAAGAATCTTGGAGTTCTTGGAGTTTATTATCCTAGAGCTGTTGCAGCTCTAACCTGGGGCTGGAGGACCTGGGCATCCTAGTCCTAGCTCAGCTGGTGATTGGCTGTTCTCTTAGCCTTTGCGGACCTATGTTTCTGCCTCTCAGAATGAGAGAGTTAGACTATATGACTTCCTAGGTTCCTTCTAGCTCTGATTTTCTGAGTCTATGGGGACAATACTGCCTCCTTTCAATCTGCCTGCAGATCAAGGGGCAAGTGTTAGTGTCTGAGTTACAACACCTTCTTTGTTTCTAATTTCTTTGTGTAATTCCTGGCTGTTTATTATGCATATAAAGGAAAACTCTTGTTGTTCCACATCCTTTAAAACCTTTTCTACTACCTGCCTTGGCACCGTGAGAATGTGAGGAAGGGGTTGAGCAGGGACAGAGTAGAAGTGAATCACCTTGTAGCTTCTTTCCCAAAGCAACTATTCATAACTGTGGATTCCTTATTTAATTTTAAGAGGATTAAAAAAAAATCCTCTTTTTCAAATGAGGAAAAAATCCTTTCATTCAAATGAAAGGATCACAAAACTTCCTAAGACCGCGCAGGTTCACGTAATCAGTTAGGATTAGATTTAGCTGCAAGTAGCTGATCAGAGGGAAGTGGCGGATCAGAGGGAAGCGGCTCCAGCTTTTTCTGGCTCTCCAACTTGATTCCGGCTTTTTGCTCTGCCCTTACTTGGGTGGACCTTTTCCTCGTGGTTTAGATGGAGCTCTAGCTATCACATCCATGTTCCAAGCAGCAGGTTGGGGCAAGGAGGAAAAAAGGGCAAAGGGCACACATAGCTGTCTTTTAAAAAAGATTCCCTGAAGCTGCCATAAGGTACTGCACTTCCACTTCCAGTTCATTGCCCAGAACTTAGTCACATGGCCATGCTTAGTTGCAAGGGAAGTTGGGAAATGTAGTTTTTATTCTGGGTGGTCATGTGTCCAGCTAAAAGTTTCACTTCTTTGGAAGATGGAGAGAATAGAAATTGGTGTCTCTGCCCCAGCAAGTGTGTCTGATGCTTGACCATCCCATCAGCTGTGCCTCTGTTCTCTGGCTGGTGTGCACCATTGCAATGGCCTCCTTCTCTGTTTGCAGGTATGTCATGTCCACCCTCGCTGGTGTACAACCACTGTGCGCACGGCTGCTCCCAGCACTGTGAGGGCAATACGAGCTCCTGTGGGGACCATCCCTCAGAAGGCTGTTTCTGCCCCCCACACCAAGTCCTGCTGGAAGGCAACTGTGTCCCCGAGGAGGCGTGCACCCAGTGCATCAGTGAGGATGGAGTCCGGCACCAGGTAGAAGCCCTGGCCTCTCACCTTTTGCCCAGGGCTGCTTCCCTTGGGGTCACTGGGGTGAAGTGTTCACCAGTGATTGGCACTTTCAGCTTTGGCAGCAGGGGTCAGCTCTTTAAGGGATCATCGGGGGACAGGGAAGCAATACTGCATGGTGATTTTGGAGTCAGACAGATCTTGGTTCAAATTTTGGGTCTCTCATGCATTAGCTGTGTGACCAAACACCAAAGTGTTAAAATTACTACATTATTATTATTATATTCATGTAAATAGAGTGCTATAGGAACCCAGAAGAGGGTGGGAAAAGAATATTTTGTGGCAATGTCTACCATTATTAAAGTATATTATGGACCTTGCATTGTGCTTACCAATTGCTGTTGAGTTGATTCCAACTCACGGAGATCCCATGGATGTCAGAGTAGAACTGTGCTCCAAAGAATTTTCAAAGGCTTATTTTTCAGCCCTGGTAGCACAGCGGTTAGGCGTTTGCCTGCTAGCCAAAAGGTCAGCAGTTCAAATCCACCAGTTGCTCCTTGGAAATCCTACGGGGCAGTTATACTCTGTCCTATGGGGTTGCTATGAGTCGGAGTTGACTCCATGGCAGTGGGTTTCATTTTGCAGAAGTAGATCACCAGGCCTTTCTTCTGAGGCAACTCGGGGTAAGCTCAAACCACCAACCTTTTGGTTAGCAGCCAAGTGCTTTAACTATTTGCACCACCCAGGGACTCCACATATGGTGGTAGCATCGTGGTAATTTCAGAGAGGTTTTGCTGGTAGTGGTAAGGTGTGCTCAGAGGGAGGTGGAAATGGTCTCTGTCCTCTTCCTTGGCATACTGTAATGAGAAGTATGCTCAAGTGTGCAAAGTGTTTCTGGTTCCCTGAGTGTCAGATGGCATTAGGGCCCTGAAAGCAGCCTTTCTTCTCACTGACCCAGTTTCCCATTTTCACTGCTCCTTTCCCCTTCAGTCTAACATATTGGAGTATACATTCAGGTTATATGAAAAATTACATAAATGCATCCAAATAGTGCAATATTGTGGACATAGAAACAGTTATATTAATACATATTTTTTAAATCAAGCAATATAAAATTACTCAATCATAAACTTTGAAGGGACCCCATCCAGTTTTTATTATTTCAGAAAGTATAGTTTAAAAGGATGAAAACAAACATCTTGTCCAGCCACCTGCATTTCCAGCTTTTTACTTTCACAGCAGAGAAGGAATAAAATTGTAATTTAAAGAACATTTCCATTTAAAAGAATTTGTTTCTTTTAACTCAGAACAAAGCTTAGAAAACCTTCCTTCAGGGAAATAAACCAGAGTATAAATCTGTTGTGGTAACTTTGAAGGGCAAAATATTTACCAGTTTCCATAGCTCTTGTTTATTTTACACAGTGCACTCTAAAGATGTGAGCATTTGTAGCAGGCTCAGAAGGAATCCAGAGCTGTGCACACTCTGTCCTTCTCTCAGCGTTGGTGGTGGTGATGGGGGCGGGAGGGTGCTCTGTACTGGGCAGGCACTGACTGGGTTCAGCAAGAACCACAGCCAGTATCCAGAAGCTTATTGTCCAGAGCCTCCCTTTCCTCTCTTTTGGTCTCTGGTATTCCCTAGCCCAGCTCCAGAAAAACAAAAAACATTGCCACCAAGTCATTTCTGACCCTACAGGACAGAATACAACTGCCCTATTGGGTTTCTAAGGCTGTAATCTCTACAGAAGCCAAGCCAATTGCCACATCTCCTCCCATAGAGCAGCTGGTAGGTTCAAACCGCTGACCTTTTGGTTAGCAGCCAAGCACTTAACCACCGTGCCATGAGGCCTCCTTTAGCACAGCTCTGTGCTTCTTAATTACACCTTTCATCAAATCCTACTACTGGTGGTGGTGGCTAACTAGCTTGTGTTCCTTTTCTGAGTTTGGGCTTTGAAAACTTCAGTTTTTCCCTTACCATATTCTCAGTAGGCTGTTCTTGTGTATCCTTTATTAAATCTTTGACTCCAGCTCGCTTGCATATCTGTCTTGTCTTGGTACTACTCAGTCACACTCCTACCCTGGACCCTGGTGGATGTGGTGGGCCTGCATGGAGTTGGTCTGTGGCTGATACAGGAGTGCCATCTGCTGGCCTGTTTGCTGCATAACCTGGCCAAGGCCAGACGGGCAGCCATTGGCGGTGCATTTAGAAGTGCAGCTGTAAGGACCTTTTTCAGGAGCCTTTAGTTCTGTCCCCTTCCTGAAGCTGGCCTCATTAAAGCTTCCTGGAAAAACGAAAATCCCTGGAGAAGGAGGTTTAGCATCTTCTTTTGGTCATCTGTTTGGGTGTTGCCCACTCTTAAGATAGTTAGAGAGTTGTATTATTCATTCTTGAGTTTAGTCATCTGAGGCTCACATTTAAAAAGAGGAAAAAAAAAAAAACCCTAAAAATAAAAATATGACCTTCTCCTTTCTCATCTCATCGCTTTTGCCATTTAAAGATCTAAATATAGATGCTTCGATTTGCCATGTTCTTGGCATCACCATCAGTGTAAAAGATCAGGGGAAATGTAGGGAAAGAGAAGCCTGAGGAAATGAAGACGTATTCTCTCCCTAGTGCTCCCCACCCCCCACCACCTCATACAGCCCTCTGTGGCCAGTGCCTGCGCTCGTTGCTCCTGGATCTTCCCAGCCCCTTGGAGAAACACTGGCATAGCAGCTACTGCAGCTTCTTATTTGGTTTCGCACTCCAAGACTGGAGTCCTGGTAGAACAGTAGTTAAGAGCTTACCTGCTAACCAAAAGGTTGGCAGTTCGAATCCACTGGCCTCTCCTTGGAAACCCTATGGGACAGCTCTACTCTGTCCTGTAGGGTCGCTACGAGTCGGAATTAACTAGATGCCAACAAGTTTGGTTTTGGTTTTGTTCCTAGTCCTTCCCTTCTCCATCCCTCTTGCTGCCACCTCTCTGTCTTTGAGGCAGGGCCCTGCTTACCAACCTTCAGGGCTGCACTTTGTCTGCTAACTTAAGTGCAAATTCCTAAAAGTTTGGAAGGCCTCTGCAATTGTCTGCACCCTACCTGCCTCACCTCCCACTATGCCCTGGCTACCCTACCCCATCCCCACATGCCCACCTGAACGTGCCTTCCTCCGTGCCTTTGTTGGCTCTGTTCCCCACCTGGACTTCCTTCTCCTTTCTCTTTGCCCAAATCCTTCCCATCTTCCATAGGTGCTCCTTCCCAAGACCTTTTTGGAGCAGCATCTCGACACTGGTGAGCTCTTCTCTTGTACTCCTGTGGCTGTTTTATTTTTAAAAACATCTTTATTGAGATGTACTTTATGTATAATAAACTGCTCATGTACTTTATATGTATACACCTGTAAAACTATCATCACAATCAAGATAATAAATATTTCCATCACCCCCAGAAGTTTCTTTGTGCCCCTTTTAATAACACCCCCCCGCCTCCATCTCTTGTCCCCTGGCAAACACTGGTCTGCTTTCTGTCACTATAGATGAGTTTACATTTTCTGGAATTTTACATACATGGAATCATGCAGTATGTCCTCCTTTTGGTCTGGCTTCTTTCATGCAGCCTAATGCTTTTGAGATTCATCCATGTTGTTGCATGTATTCTATGGTATGGATGTATCACAATTTATTCGTCTAATTCAATTGTTATTTGGTTATTCAACTTTTCATGGGCGGGTTTTATTTCCTCCGCTTGACTGTCAGCTGTTTGAGGGTAGGGACAATGCGTTCAGTACCTGTCACCCCCATGTCCCTGGCAGGGGGACCTGCTCATGGTAGGCACTGTGACTGTACATAGGAGAATACTACAGACATTATAAACATCGTGTCTGGGACCAGAATACCAGGTTGAAATCCTGGATCTGCAACCTAGCCAAGTTACTTCTCCGTGCTTCAATTTTATAATTAGTAAGTGTAGATAATAATAGTGCTTACCTGGTGGGGTTATTATAAGGATAATAAAGTAAATAAATGTAAAACCCTTAGAAAAAAATGTCTCAAACATGGTAACTGTTAGTTATTACTGGGAGGCAGCAGAGCATGTTATCGTTAGGTGCCGTTCAGTGGGTTCCAACTCATAGTGACCCTGTGTACAACAGAATGAAACACTGCCCAGTCTTGTGCCATCCTCACAATCGTAGTTATGCTTGAGCCCATTGTTGCGGCCACTGCGTCAGTCTATCTCATTGAGGGTCTGCCTCTTTTTCACTGACCCTTTACTTTACCAAGCATGATATCCTTTACCAGGGACTGATCCCTCCTGATAACATGTCCAAAGTATGTGAGATGAAGTCTCGCCATCCTTGCTTCTAAGGAGCATTCTGGCTGTACTTCTTTCAAGACAGATATGTTCATTCTTTTGGCATTCCATGTTATATTCAGTATTCTTCGCCAACACCATAACTCAACAGACGTGTGGGTGTCAGCAGAGCATGGTGGTTAAAAATGTGGATTTTGGAGCCAAACGGTCTGAGTTCAAATCCTAGCTCTACCATTATTACTGGGTGACTTTAGCTAAGTGCCTCAGCTTTCTCATCTGAAAAGTAGGAATAATAAAAATCATGGGTAATGAAAAATCTTCACTGTCATGCTGTGGTGAGGTTTATTTAAATGAGTTAATTTATAAGAAGTCCTTAAAACAGTGGCTCAGCTCATAGCAGATGCTATTCAAATGTTAGCTGTTACTGCTTGTTAGTAAGTGAAAGATGGCAAAGGCAGGACCAGAGGTTTTAATTCTAAAGGAGGACAGGGCACCTTGGGGTAAGGATGTTTTACTTGCAGAGTTCTGATCTTCTTTCTTCTGAGCTTCCCATTGCTGACCATGGAAGCAGAAGGAATAAGTAAGACCTTCTTGACCCAGGAACTTTTTAGAGTCCTTTGAGCTACTGGATAAGAATATGTTTATCCAGGGACAAGGGGACCCTTTAAGTTTAACGTGATGTCTGAGTCTATAGAGAAACCTAGTTCTGGTTCTGCTGGTCCCATCTATTGAGCATGTAGCTGTGAGCCAAGCACTGTGCTAACCACAGGCTCCCACTCCTTACAACAGTCCTGTGAGACAGGTTCAAGTATCTTCATCTTACAGGCAAGGAAACTGAGGCATGGAGGAGTGAAGCCGACACTGGAGTTGAGGACTTCAGAGCCCTTCCTCCGGCTGCAGGGCTGTATGCAACTTTGAAAAATTTGATTTACCCCTTGGGTGGGCCCTCATCTGAAAAAGCAGAGAGTTGCACTCTGGTCTCTAACATTGCTTCCAACCTCAGCACTGGGGCAATCCTAAGAGTTTTGCTGTCCTGCCCTCAGTTTTTCTACCGCATGTCTTAAGTCAGTTCCAGGAATAAATGGAATTACTTTTTCAAACTACATCCTAAGTTTTCCTTTTGCTTGAGAAATGACTAGCAATGATACAAAACCACCATTTTCTGTTGAGTCAGTTTTGACTCATGGTTGACCCCATGTGTGTCAGAGTAGAACTGTGCTCAATAGGCTTTTCTTTCTTTGTAAATAATTTTTTTTTTTTGTTGAAAGTATACACAGCAGAACATACACCAGTTCAACAATTTCTACATGTACAATTCAGTGACATTGATTATACTCTTTAAGCCATGCAACCATTCTCACCCTCCTTTTCCACATTGTTCCTCCCCCATTTACATAAACTCATTGCCCCCTAAGCTTCCTATCTAACCTTCTGAGTTGCTGTTGTCAATTTGATCCCATATAGATAGTTCTTTAAAAGAGCACAATGCTCAGGGCAGACATTTCTTTACTAATTAAGCTAAACTATTGTTTGGTTTAAAGAAGACTTCAGGGGATTTTTTTTTTTTTAATTTTTATTTTGTTTTAGGTGAAAGTTTACAGGGCAAATTAGTTTTTCATTAAAAAACTTTATACACAAATTGTTTTGTGACATTAGTTGTAATCCCTGTAATGTGTCAGCACTCTCCCCCTTTCCCTTTACACCCTGGGTTCTCCGTGCCCCTTTTTTCAGTTTTCCTGTCCCTTCCTGCCTTCTCGTTTTTTGGTTTTGGGCAGGTGTTGCTCATTTGGTCTTGTATACTTGATTGAACTAAGAAGCACATTCTTCACTTGTGTTATTGTTTGTTTTATAGGCCTGTCTAATCTTTGACTGAAAGGTGGACTTTGGGAGTGACTTCAATTTTGAGTTAGCATGATGTCTGGGGGCCATAGTCTTGGGGGTTCCTCCAGTCTCTGTCAGACCAGTAAGTCTGATCTTTTTTTTGTGAATTTGGATTTTGTTCTGCATTTTCCTCCTGCTTTGTCCTGGACCCTCTATTGTGATCCCTGTCAGAGAGATTGGTTATGGTAGCCAGACACCATCTAATTCTTCTGAGCTCAGGCTGGTAGGGGCTGTGGTTCATGTGGTCTATTAGTCGTTTTGACTAATATTTTCCATGTGTTTTTGGTTTTCTTTATTCTCTTTTGCTGCAAACCTGATGGGACAAATAGATGTATCTTAGATGGCTGCTTGCAAGCTTTTGAGTTCCCAGACGCTACTCACCAAAGTAGGATGTAGAATATTTTCATTATGAACTATGTTATGCCAATTGACCTAGATGTTCCCCGAGAATATGGTGCCCAGCTCTCAGCCCCAGTAACTTGGTCCCTCAGGATGTTTGGATGTGTCTAGGAAGCTTCTGTGACTTTGCCTTGGTCAAGTTGTGCTGACTTCTTCAGGGGATATTTTTGGTTTAAGGTTTAAAGATTATCTCAGGGCAGTAGTTTGGGGTTTCATCCAGCTTCAATGACTCCAGAAAGTCTGGATTCTGTGAGAATTTGAAAATCTGTTCTGCATTTCCACCCTTTTGATCAGAATTATTCTATAGAATGTTTGATCAAAACATCCAGTAATGGTAGCTGGGCACCATCTAGTTCCTCTGGTCTCATGGCAAAGGAGGCAGTTGTTCATGGAGGCAATTAGTCATGTATTCTATTTCCTCCTCCTATTCCTCTGTTGCTCCAGGTGAATAGAGACCAATTGTTGTACCTTGGGTGGCCGCTGCAAGCTGTGAAGACCCTGGACTCTATGTGATGAACTAGGCAGGAGAACAGAAGCACCAAACACAACGTTAGGCCAATTAACTGGGATGCATAGGGTTTTCAATGGCTGATTTTTTTTTTATTGTTGTAGAAATATATATAACACAACATTTACCAGTTTAATGTTTTTCAGGGGTACATTTTAGTGATATCAATTACATTACTCATGTTGTGCAACCATCACCCGTAATCATTGCCAAATTTTCCATCACCATATACAGAAACTCACTGCTTCCTAAACAATGGCATGACTTCCCCCTTCTCTCCCTCCCCTGGTAACCACTAATGAATTTTGATCTCTATACATATGCCTATTCTAATTACTGTATTTTTATGCAAATAACATGCACTTCTATGTTTGTTTGCCAACTGTGCGCTCCCCTTGAGATATTTTCATAAGTGCATTTTTTACAGCAATATGAAAAAAATTAACATAGCAGAACTTATGAAAATACCTTGCAGGGGGAGGGCACAGATGGCAAACAAACCTAGAAGGTGTGTGTTATTTGTGTAAAGATATGGTATTTCCTACAGGTGAGATCATACAATATTTGTCCTTTCAGAGGCTGATATTTCAGAAGTAGATCACCAGCCTTTCTTCTGAGGTGCTTCTGGGTTAGCAGCCAAGAGTGTTAACCATTTGTACCACCCATGGACTTCAGTGTGATACAAGAACCGTTGTTTTCTTGCTTTGCTATTATAGTACCACCACCAGAGAAGACTGTAATGAATGCTCCTAAGCTTTCTAAATGTGTAGTTAGTGACTGGTCCCTAGCAGGATGGAGATGGCCTTTCTAAGAGACCCTGTTGCTTCTACAGCTTTTTCCTCTCAGTACCTTGCAATCTCATTTCAATCTGCTTTTATTCATATTTGGGGTCCTGAAAGGGAAGGCCCAGGCACTGGCCCTCGCTGAGGGGGAAACCAATCCAGAGGTAGGGGAGAACTGAATTCCATGGACTGTGGGGCTTTGTGCCCAGGAGTGTCCTAGGACCTCTCTGACCCTTGTTTTCCTCTCAGTTTCTGGAAACCTGGGTCCCAGACCACCAACCCTGTCAGATCTGCATGTGCCTCAGTGAGCAGAAGGTCAACTGCACCTCGCAGCCCTGCCCCACAGCCAGAGGTGAGTGAGTCCACCTCTCCTTAGGTCTATTGGAGAAAAAAGAGCTTCCAAGGCCATCCAGCTACCCTGTCTTCATACCTGGTAGACCAGATCCAAACCTTTGGCCCCTAGATTGATTTCCTTGACCCAGCCTACATCCCCCATGACAACTCTACCCTTCTTTACCTTGCTAGGCTCGGGTATCTCCATTCTGAGCCTAGAGTGGACCTTCTCAGAGTTTAATTCTGCTGTCCTGTCACTGCCTTGGCCCTCAGATTCATAGCCCCATGGAGGGTAAATTTGAAGGTATCAACAGGACACACAGAAGGAGATTGATTTTATCAGAGTTCCAACGCTTGATTCCTCATGGGCCTCCCATACAGACTCCAGGCTGGTTTTCAGTGAATGAGAGTCTGCAACATTTTTAACCTTTCTCCAGGTTGTACCACTCTTTACTTCCCTCTGACTTAATGGCTGTTCTTTCCTTCCAGTGCCCACATGTGGCCCATGTGAAGTGGCCCGCCTCCACCAGAATCCAAACCAGTGCTGCCCAGAGTATGAGTGTGGTATGTGTTCTACCTTGGACATTTCTCCAGGGTCCAAGCCCCAGCCCCAGGTGAACCATGTCGTGGGTGCTGAAAGGTGGATGTAGTCCCAGGCACAGAGAGTTGAAAGGTCCTGGGAGACTGGAAGTGGATAAGGGCTGATTGGATTTTCCAAAAAGTGGAAAGAGTAACCTCTGGAAAATAGAATTTGTTTGCTAGAAACATTCTGCAGTGGGATATTAAATGTAAGAATTGAAAGTATTTAGAAAAGAATAGCATGCTAACTGGGGTGAGGGGCCACAGAGATTTACTTAAGAAACAGTCATGCCAAAGTAATTCAGTTTCCTTCTCAATAAAGATTCTGAGGATACTAGATCTAGAGAGGACCACACACAGGGCACGTTGATTCAGCAAGTTATTTGTCAAAGGGTTTCATCATAGTTTTGCACACTGAATTGTGAATAGTGGGCTGAATAATGGTATAATTAAATGAATTCAGAGCTGATGGAATTAAAGCTAATATGACAGGAGATCTCCAATGCCCTTGTCCCTGTCCTGTCCAATGCTTTTATTAATTATATGGGTAAAGACATAAAGCACAGCTTGTAACACTGGCAGTGATGCAAATCTTCCAGGGAGAGCAAATAGATCAAGGGACAGTCCAAGGATCTAAGAAGAATAAAATAATGTGAGAAATTTATTTATGCTGATGAAATTTATCAGGGATAAATAGAAGTCCTGTAGAGGAGGGAGATCTCACTTAGAAAAATTTGTGTAAAATGGGTCTTAGAATGTTAATGGTAGAGAGAACTGGAGGGGTCATTTAGTTCAAGTCCCTCATTTTATGGACATTATTAAGCTCCTACAATGTGCTAGGTACCTTGTCCACATTATTTCCTGAAATTGTCAGACTAGCCTTATAAGGTAGAGTTCCCACCTATGAAAGAGGAAACTGAGGCATGCAGGGTTCAAGTGATGTGGCTAAGATTTGGAAGTCCTAGCAGATGACAAGAGTAATCAATATGGGCTTATCATATGACTTGGATCTACCAATTAACCAGTCTATCTATTATCTATACATCTACCCATCCATCCATCCATCAATCTGTCATATCATCATCATCATCTGTGTACCACAGTTAAAGTCTGCATGTGTAAGAATGTAGGATCCCACTCACAGGTAATAAAAGAATAACCTCACTGAACTCTCAGTGGATGTCTGTCTTTCCTGACCCTCAGTGTGTGACCTGGTGAGCTGTGACTTGACTCCAGTGCCTCACTGTGAAGGTGGCCTCCAGCCAACCCTGACCAATCCTGGCGAGTGCAGACCCAACTTCATCTGTGGTAAAGTCTCTGAGGATGAGAAGGGGTTGGGGTGTCACTCTTGCCTGGGCTGGGGAAGGTATCCTCCTTCTTGGGGACCTGTTCCAAGATCATGTCATTTTATATATTCTAGTTAGCTGAACGTGGGTTCAGGGTATGTCTAGAACAGAGAGGTTAAAGTCACACCTGGACTGAATCCTCTAAAAAATCCTTCCAGCTGTTTGCTGCTGAAGATGTGCTGGAGACGGACACAGCCCAGGCACTTCCCTTTTGGGTCATATTAAAGAGGCAGTTGAGCTTGAGATGGGGAAGACTCCAGAAACCAATCCTTATTTGCCCTCATTTTCCCCTACCTCCACCCTCCCATATCCCATGGAAAGGAGGGAATGTCCCCTTGGCTTATCCTCATCGTTGGATCTTATTCTCAAACAAATTTATAGTTTTTTTTTTCCTCTGTAAGTTTACATATTTAATCACTAAATGCCATAATTTAAGCATAGGATTAAATTAAAGTAAAAAATGTGAAGAAACTAAATTCTGTATTTAGCTGTTGAGAATACCTACTCTAAGTGAAGTGAGTTCTTGTCCTGTTGATTTAGCATCTGCCTTCACTTGAGTTCCTAGATGTAAGACCTTGAGGGTGGGAGGATAAGACATTACATATGATGGAAGCTGGGAACAGACAAAGGACACAGGGATAGGATTTGGCATTTTTAACACGTGATTGAGGACTTGACAGGAAGGCTGGCATTCTTTTATTCAACATTGTTGGAGGACCTACAACTGCAGTGTATTGTTCTAGCTACTGAAGTGGGGATAGCCCTGCATATAGGATCAAATAAGTTACCAGCATATAAAAGTGCTTACCAGCTCATGGCATGCCCAAGCTTCCTACAGTTACCTGGGTCTTAGATATTCTATATCTGGGGTTCCTGGGAATCAATTGCTGAAAGAACCCTATCTCTTCTAGATATAAATGGGAAGGTTATAGGGCAGGTGCTGAGCAGCCTTCACTTCTCCATGAGAATTCCTAGCTTCACATTGCTCCTTTTGATTAATTTTTTTATTCTTCTGCAGTCTAACAGCTTTTAGGTATAATTGAATGTCCTATAGCCCCTGAACTGGGCTAACGTTCATTACTGCTTTAATATTCTGGATCTAGACCTTATATTATAGCTGAATATTCATGAACCCTGGCTGGGTGCAGTGCTCATGTGGCAGGACAAAGGGCATCTCTTTGTGCTGCACCTCAGCTTGCAGGAAGGAGGAGTGCAGAAGGGAGTCCCCGCCCTCGTGTCCCCCACACCGAACGCTGACCCTTCGGAAGACCCAGTGCTGTGATGAGTATGAATGTGCTTGCAACTGTGTCAACTCTACGGTGAGCTGCCCCCTGGGGTACCTGGCCTCAGTCATCATCAACGACTGTGGCTGCACCACAACCACCTGCCTCCCTGACAAGGTAAGTGCTGCTGGCTCTGGCAGGGTTGATGGCCAAACATGTACTTCTCATGGAAGATTCATCTCTACCCAACCTTCCCCTCCTGCCCAGACCTTGCATTTCACGGCTTGGTGGGCAGGCAATCAGGATTCCATCTTCAGCCGAAATGAAAATTTAGTTAATTCAGGAGGTGTAGAGAACCTACCGTGTGCTCAGCATGGCTAGGTGCTGAGTTACAATGTATAAGACATAGTCCCTACCTTCAAAGAACCTATTTGTAGGCTAGACAAGGAAATAGTATGATTGCGTGGATAGTCACAGCTTGTTGGGTTATTGAGGACAAGTCCCGGAATGAAAGACCAAGGGAGGCTGCAGTTATCTTTCCCTGGAGCCTGTTAGGGTAAGAACAGACACTCATTTACCTGAATGCGCTAGACCTCTGGTTCCCTCTGGGTGCAGTAACAGCTCAAGGTGTCTTAAGTGTCCAAGTTCTAGAGGAGCAGGAGTAGGTCTAAGAGCTGGTGTCTGCTGCTGCTTCTTTCGTCTCTATTCTCTTGCTCCTCTTCCTCTTTTGCTGTTTTTTTCCTACTAATATTTCTTATGTCTCTTTAATCTATAGTAGCTCCCCATTTTTTATACCTTGATTCATTGGAGAAGCTGGATCATTTGTCCTATAGAATGCTATACATTCTGGATTTGGCTGATAGCTTCCTCATGGTATTGCTTGATGTGTTTTTCCATCTTTTATATTTCTAGTAAACTAGAAGTTAGACCTAGGGGATTAATTACATTCAAGTTCAATTTTGGAGGGTGGTGGTGGTGGTGGCAAAAATACATCATAGGCAATGCTGTGTGTTTCCTATTGTATCATACCAGGAGGCCCATAATGTTCAGTGGTCCCACTTTTAAAGATAAGATTACTGGATTCAGGTGATATCAGCCTTTTCTCCAACATAAAATTTCCCCCATCAGCATTTTAACAAATAGTTTTAATATCCACTGATGATTGTTGCCTAAGATTCATTATTGTATTAAGGGTTGAAAATTTGAGACTTTTTTCTAAGTCTGTCATTCTTCTGCATTTATTATCAGGAATTTTTCTATAAGGAATAACTTTCCCTCAACCACTTTTTGGTTACCCCCAGTGGAGTTCCTTTGGGAATGTCATTGTTAGGTGTGGTCAAGTAGGTTCCAACTCACAGTGACCCTATGTATAACAGAATGAAGCACTGCCTGGTCCTGCGCCATCCTCACAATCATTGCTGTGTTTGAGCCCATTGTTGCAGCCACTGTGTCAGCCTATCTCGTCATGGGTCTTCCTCTTTTTCACTGACCCTCTACTTTATCAAGTGTGATGTCCTTCTTTACGGACTGGTCCCTCCCGATAACATGTCTAAAGTATGTAAGACGAAGTCTCGCTGTCCTTGCTTCTAAGGAGCATTCTGGTTGTACTTCTTCCAAGACAGATTTGTTCATTCTTCTGGCAGTCCATGGTATATTCAATATTCTTCACCAGCACCATAATTCAAAGGCATCAATGCTTCTTCAGTCTTCCTTATTCATCGTCCAGCTTTCCCATGCATCCGAGGTGACTGAAAATACTATGGCTTGGGTCCGGCGCACCTTAGTCCTCCAGGTGACATCTTTGCTTTTTAACACGTTAAAGAGGTCTTTTGCAGCAGATTTGCCCAATGCAATACATCATTTGATTTCTTGACTGCTGCTTCCGTGGGTGTTGATTGTGGATACAATTAAAATGAAATTTTTGACAACTTCAGTATTTTCTCCATTTATCATGATGTTGCTTATTGGTCCAGTTGTGAGGATTTTTGTTTTCTTTGTGTTGAGGTGTAATCCATACAGAAGGCTGTAGTCTTTGATCTTCATTAGTAAATACTTAAAGTCCTCTTCACTTTCAGCAAGCAAGGTTGTGTCATCTGCATATCGGAGGGTGTTAGTCTGTCTTCTTCCAATCCCGATGCTGCATTCTTCATATAGTCTGGCTTCTCAGATTATTTGCTTAGCATACAGACTGAATAAGTATGGTGGAAGGATACAACCCTGATGCACACCTTTCCTAATTTTAAACCATGCAGTATCCCCTTGTTCTGTTTGAACAACTGCCTCCTGGTCTATGTACATGTTCTGTATGAGCACAGTTAAATTTTCTGGAATTCCCATTCTTCGCAGTGTTAGCCATAATTTGTTATGATCCAGTTGAAAGCCTTTGCATAGTCAACAAAACACAGGTAAACAACCTTCTGGTATTCTCTGCTTTCAGCCAAGATCTATCTGACATCAACAATGATGTCCCTTGTTCCATGTCCTCTTCTGAATCCGGCTTGAATTTCTGGCAGTTCCCTGCCTATTTTTGAATTATCTGCAACATAATTTTACTTGCATGTGATATTAATGATATTGTTTGATAATTTCCGCATTCTGTTGGATCATCTTTCTTTGGAATAGGCACATATATGGATATCTTCCAGTCGGTTGGCCCGGTTGCTGTTTTCCAAATTTCTTGGCATAGAGGAGTGAGTGCTTTGGGAAAAGCAGGACAAATGCTTGATTCTTTTTTCTTTATCAATTTTCAGAGTAATAAGTTGGTGCCCTAGCAACTTTCAAATGATGACCAGAGAGTTTTTTGTGTGTATGTGCTTTGTAACATTATGAATTCATAAGTACTTATGCATCTGATTAAGGATCCCTCGTGGCACAGTGGTTAAAGCAGTCAACTGCTAACTGAAAGGTCAGTGGTTCGAAACCACAGGCAGCTCCTCAGAAGAAAGACGTGGCAGTCTGCTTCCATAGAGATTTACAGCCTCGAAAATCCTATGAGGTTGCTATGTGTTGGAATCGACTACCGCAGTGGGTTATGTGTTTGATTAGTTTGAATTCATTGTAATCTTTATTCTTTTTGATACTCAAATTGTTTTCTCTGATGCAAAAGGGAGCCCCTTCAAATTGGTTCTGGAGTCCTTTGACATAACCTCCTTAGTCTTTGATAGCTTTCTTGCTTTCCAAAACAAGGTATGTACCAGGCTCATCTTGGACATTTCCTGTCCCAGACCTAAAAGCAGACATTTCCCTAAGGAATCTTGGTACCTTTTAATGGAAATGATATTTAGACACTATAGATAGGATGTCAGAATGCTATTATCCCTGGGCTTTCAGTCTCTAGGTTTCTTTGGTGGACAGAGCCTAGAAATACATTATATTTAAAGAGAAAAAAAAAAGTTCACAAGTTCATAGTGATATTTCCAATTAAAGTTTCAGACTATAGGATTTTACTTAACTTCTTTGATTTTATACTTGTATCACTTCTAAGTTGAAAATCGTGGTTCAAAGCATAATTACTTATTGGCTTTATCTTAATATGTCTATGATAGTTTCAAAAATAACAGTGCCAATATTACTGCTAACAATTTAAGACTGTTGAAAGCAGTGAAGATAGATTTCTTTGCAGTTCTTTTTGTCCCAAGAATATAACCTATTAGAGCTGTGCAGTCAAAATACTTGATTTCAATACCACTTGAAATAATTGTTTGCTCTGTATGGTTCTGCCAGTGACTTGATATCCTGTTACTCAGATGTTTGAATTTTTAAGGGTTGCTTCTTACTATATTTTTTAATTTAATTTTTATTATGTAAAACACTTAAATTATTCCAAAGGCAAATTATAAAGCAAGGTACATTCCTAAAAGTCTTACTTCTATCCCTGTCTCTTCTACCTTGTTCCTTCCCTCTTCCCTATGATTTACCATTTTTATTAATTTTTGGCATGTCCTTCCATTGGTTCTTTTTGAAAATGTAAGAAAAATTTTTGTCTTTGTATTTCCTCCCATTTATCTCAGAAAGGGTAGCATATTACAAATTCTGCCCTGAACTTTTCTTTTTTTCTTTTAACCATATATGCTGGAGATTATTCTGTGTCAGTATATACAGATCTTCCCTATTTTTTTTTACAGCTACATAGTTCTCTATTGCACTGATACATCCTAGTTTATTCAACCATTCCCCTACTAATGGACATTTGGGTTGTTTCAATCTTTTGCTGTTAATAATGATGCCGTAACAAATAACCTTGTGCATCGGTCATGTGTTTTTGCCAATGTGTCTGGGGATAGATTCTTAGAAGTAAGATACTGGGTCAAATGGTAAATGCACATATACTTCTGCTAGATACTGCCAAATTCCCCTCCATAAGGTTGGTAACATTTTCAAACAGGCTTCTTAATAAGTCTCACTCAGTAAGTTCATTATACAGAAGCTAGAAGACTGATCAAATATATGATAATGGTTTAAAAATATTTATACTGCTCTTATGTGAATGAGGGTGGAGACCTGCTCTCTGTGATTTTGGAGAGCAGACTTGGGACTAATTTAAAAACTGTCATTAAGTCCCCTGGTCAAACAGCTTCCCTACCAGCTCATTCCTACACAGTAAAGTCTAAACACCGAATATGGCAGGCATCCCAGGCTTTTCATATTCTGACCCCAATCAGCCTTTGCAGTCTTTTTCCCCACATCCTTTCCATAGCCTGTAGCCCTTCCAAATAGGATCCCTTTTCCCTCAAACACACCCTGTCTGTGTGCCTCAGAACCTGGCCTATCATATTCCCTGTCACCTGTGCACATCTGGAGGGGACACTCATTCACAGCCCCTGCCCAATCCCCCTTTACCTTCAATCCATTCCAGGGGTCAGAAGGCTATATGTAGATGAGTTCTAAGTTCAAGGACATTACTGGATCTGAGAATTAGGATGGAGCTTTCTTTGTAAATAGGAAGGAGTTAAATTCAGTCAAGGCAGTAGTAAAACTAGGCTGAGGCAGCCAGTGTGTTATACTTGGGCCTGGGGACCATGAAAGTCTCATAAGAGACCACTCCCAGGGTAGACCAGGGACGGCTCTTCTAAGGCTAGTGGGCAGGGAATAGAAAAGGACAAAATCTACTTTAGAAGCATCTCCCCATGTAGCCAAAGACTATGTTGGTTTTATTTATTTCTGTATCCTCAGCACCTAGTGCACTTACCTACAGGACAGAGTAATAACTGCCCCACCGGGTTTCCAAGGAGCAGCTGGTGGATTCGAACTGCTGACTTTTTGGTTAGCAGCCAAATGCTTAACTGCTGCACCACGAGGGCCCCTTCCAACATATAGTAGTCACTTACTAACTGTTTGTTTAAATGAACTGAATGAGTTCACTCATGGCAATCTTTGTGTCTGCAGGTGTGTGTCCACCGAGGCACCATCTACCCTGTGGGCCAGTTCTGGGAGGAGGGCTGTGACGTGTGCACCTGCACCGACATGGAGGATGCTGTGATGGGCCTGCGTGTGGCCCAGTGCTCCCAGAAGCCCTGTGAAGACAGCTGTACGTTGGTAAGTGGGGCAGACGGGCTGGTACTGCAGAGCAGCCAAGGCAGGCAGTAGGGGATGGGGGCCTCAGGAGGGGACAAGAAAGGCCCTTTGCTAATCTCTGGTTCAAGGCCAGAGGTGAGGGGAAAGAAGGGGATTGGGCTGGGTAAAGAGAAAGAAGCTTGAGGAAAGGATTGCTATGTTATCCTTCTGTGATTCAGTCCTTGGCTTGTTGTCATGTCTGTTATAAGCTCCAGAGGGCTGTGGAGTTGGTTTGAGCAAAGATGGGGAGAGGATTAAAGGCATAGAAAAGAGGACTTGATGTTTTCTCCTCTGTCTTCCACCTTTAGACATAACTTAGCCTATTCCTGGAGCAGACATATGTCCTGAATTTTCTGAGATTATCCCAGTTTCAATGCACTAGAGTATTTCCACGTAGATTGGTGATTTTCAAACCATGTTTATCGATTGAGGTACAGAACACATGACCATTGTTCCCTGAATTCTGTTTCGAATTCCTCTTGTGGTGATTTGCCCCGAAGGCTCCCATGTGTTCTGGGGCACCCCATTCTTGCACATTTAAGGCTGAGCAGACTCTAGAAAAAGGGAGCAATGGCTGCAGGGAGATTTGTGGGTCAAATTCTGCTTATGGGTTTAATTTTGTTCTCTGTCAGTAGCTAATAACGTTAAAAGAAGTGTTTCCAGGGCAGGCAAGCACATACATCTTATGGTTGCTTTGTAAATGTTAAAAGCAGTGGAGATAATGCTGTTGGTGCTGTTTCCAAGGTGTATAGTTTGATGGTGGAAGGGAGGGCCTCAGAGAGAATCCAGAAATGGGAGAGTCCATTCATTTCACCTGCTTTTTTGCCTGCACTGCTGGTACTGAAGATGAATGGGAGTTGCTAGGCACCTTTGGGAGAGCATGATGCTGTGGTATCCAGGTATGCCTTTTGGGAACATTAAGTTTTGGAGACCCATTGGTCTCTGTCTCCTCACACAGGCTATGGAAGGCAGTGGAAATAACTTGCTATCAAATAAAAAGAGTGCTGTTTAGAGGTCATTTTTATAAAATTGGCACCCAGTATGTCTTGTGTTTCAGTAGGGCATTTTGATTGCCACGAACAGAACCTACTCAAGCTAGCTAAATAATAAGGGGATTTATGGAAAGCATACAGGGGAATACCCCACAAATCAAGTGCAGGAAATGTAGGTAAGTATTATGGATAGAAAGGGCAGTGGTGGTTCAGTGGTAGAATTCTTGCCTTCTATGCAGGACACCAGGTTCAGCTCCTGGCCAATACTCCTCATGCACAGCTACCACCCATCTGTCAGCGGAGGCTGGTGTTTTGCTATGATGCTGAACAGGTTTCAGTGGAGCTTCCAGACTAAGACGGACTAGGAAGATAGGCTTAGTGATCTACTTCTGAAAATCAGCCAGTGAAAACTCTATGAATCATAACAGTTTGATCCCCAGCTGATCATGGGAATGGTACAGGACTGGCAGCGTTTCATTCCATGGTGCATGGGATCGCCATGAGTTAGAGGCTGACCCGACAGAAGCTAACAACAACAACAATCACAGAAAGTGGATGGTGGTCAGACAGCATTTCTCTCCATTTGTCTCGTGACCTCTTGTCTCTGCATCTTTATGCTTATCTGCCCCAGCTCCTCACTGCAAGCCAGCTTCCTCTCTGAGGAAGTTTTCCTTTCTCATAAATTTCATTTGCACATAGCTTTATCAAATCTGGCCTCAAATGAACATAGACTGTTTAGTTCATCCTTGTCCAATCTGATTTATTTAATCTTTATGTTTCATAGATTACATTCTCAAGAAAAGAATTGATGGGCATAGCTTAGCCCATGGATTGGGTCCTCTGTCTGGTTCTCATTCTGGTCTAGTCAACTGTTGGGGAGAGTGTATGGTCATATCTATAAACCTGGCTGTCTAGCTGGGTGTCTTATACAGAGGCTGTGGGGATGGAGGCTAAAAAGGAGATGCGAATGGAGGTCAGGGGAATGAATGGAGGAGGCAACATGTTTAGCATTCTTGACCAAATGATTGCTCTAGGGAATTGAATTCACTGTTTTAGAGGCTGAATGTTCAGATCTCTGGGGAGAAGAAGAAGGCCTCATGGTTTAGTTAAAGCTGAGGGGACGAGGAAGGCCAGACTTTGATCTGTACTAAGTGTTGAGTTGAGGTAGGGGGTTCAGTAAATTAGAGATAACTAAAGGCTTCATTCTTCAAAAAGGGTAACATCAGCTCTGGTTTTCCTGCTAGAGACATTTGGGCCCATCACCTGAATTCATTTGTAGTCTAGGTTTTGACAAAAAGAACACATACCCACGTTATCTTCTGATTTTTCCTTTCCGAAGCCACAGTCTGCAAAAACACACCTTTCCTAACCTCCTCCACAATTTTCTGCTTCTTATATCAGAAAAATGATGTAAAGTGAGCAAGGGGCATTGCTGGTTTCCTAAAGTTTTATAGGTGGGGCTACATGCCTATGGCTTTGCTTCCATGTTGACAGTAAGAGGAATTCCTGCACCTTTGTATAAACCTTAGAAAAATTTTCCTTTGAGGGCATATGACCACCTAACTCCCAACTCTTAGACCCCAGCATCAGACTAAATCATGGCTTTAGGGACTATGTTTTCAATGACTGAATGTAGTTCATTATATTTTATTCATGCTCATGATATTCCTCCAGAAGGAAGAAGAGGTAGGACTATTCTTACTTATAGGATAGAAAAACAAAGGACTAGCACAGGGAATGAAGTTGACCACAGCTCTACAGCTTATCTGAAGCCAATAGAGATTGGAGTGTCCTGACTCCTAGCACGGGACCTGTTCTTTTAGGCAACTGGCAACACCAGTATTGCAAAATCCAGTGTGATCCAGGGAAGAGGACTTCAAACTGTCCTCCTCAGCAGGTGACAAGAGACTGGAGCTCCATGCCTCCCACCTCCACTTCAGCTGTGGCAACTATGCTTAAAGGATTGTCACACTAAATAAATTAGGAATTTATTTTTCAGTTGCATATGTCTTCAGGTTGGGTGGCTATTAGACCTGCTTAGATCCATTCTTAACTGTGAAATCAGTGACTACAGGGTGAGAGAATGGGTAAGGAGAAGGGTCTGAGAAATATATTTCAGACAGTTACAGGCTAGAGGATTGGCAGGAGTCAGGGAAAAGAAAGAGACATGAAAATGTAGAATGGAACCTTGGTGTGCAGCAAGCAAATGGGAATGCTCGGGGTGTGGGAGAGAATCTTAGAAAGATGGCAGCTGGAAATTTGGTGGCATGACTAGGGGTACCTGAGCATGAGAAGTTTGGGGCTTTGAGGAACAAGGCATCTGGCCTGGGAGTAATCCATATCAACAGTGTAGTTGCCTATGCTAGGAGGCAGCAGAAGACACAAAGAATTCACAAATCCAGATCACTCAGCACTTTCAGAGAGATGTGCAAGAGTGACACTAGAATCCTAAAGGTATTAATTACTCTCTTCTGTGTTCCCTTGAGTCTTTGCTTCTGACTCCCATGAGACTTCATTTCTTTTATGGCATTTAGTATATTCTGTTTTATAGTGTAGGGTGTATAGATTGTATTACCCTAATTTGTTGGCTCCTACATAATACCTAATACATCATAGGTGTACAGTAAATAACGTAGAATCCCAGCTAAAAGTGGTTGGGGACAGCTCACTGTGTACCACTATGACGTGGGTTGGGATATCAGTAGGTCCCATGGAGATGGGGTGAAGCTGAGTCAAGTCCCTAGAGCTCTTGTGCCACCCCAGAGAGAGGCACCAACCAGACCAAGATGGAGTGTTGTGTGCATCTTCTGATTTGGCCCTGGTTGTGAGTGCACTTGGGGAGCAGAACAGGCTTGGTATCCACACCCATTCTCAACAGCTGCAGCTACGCCTTCTCTCTTAAGGACACAGCTACAAGATGAAGCATAGTCTTGGGTTCTTTCTCCTTGGCTTCTGGGAAACCACATGCGTCATTGTTTTGCCTACTCTTTGTACATTGCTTCAGACTTTTCAGTAGAGGGTTTTAATCCAAGTCCCTAATGCTCTGGCCAGATTGGAGGACCTCCAAGAGGTGAAATGGGCTGGCAAACTCCAGGTTGCCGATCTTCCTGGCAGGCTTCCTGGGGAAGGTTGGTCTCTGCTGCACTCTCATCTCACTTTTCCTATGTAAAGAATACTGTGCCCCATAAACTAGTAGGGAGCCCATCTTTGCACTTTGCTGAGAGGTATTGGGATCAGGTACTTACCTAGTATAGGTAGTTAGCCCTGTTAGAGCAGACATTATGTCCAGATGCTAAGATAATAACAATTTTTTTGCTCTAATTCATGCTGAATGTTCTCCCCCAGTCAATGAGGTGTTCTAGATATGGCCATGATAAAGGTCAGGTCAGTTAGCTTCTGCTAAGTGAATGCTGGAATGCCCTAAGTACTCTGATGGACTGGATCTTGGTCTTAAAGTGGAAGCTTTCAGAGGGCAGGGTTATATTTCTTATGCTGGTGTAAGTCCTAGCTTGGTGACTCAGTGGTTGATGCTTTCTGATTGCTTCTTGGCATGGTCCTGAGACTGGTTGATGATAAAGATGAAAATGTCTAGTCCAATCCCTCCTCTGCAAAACCCCAGTGCACAGTACACATGTCTTTGCTACTGGCCTGTCCTCACTCTCTGTTCTTTTTGTCTAACCAGGGCTCCACTTATGTCCTCCATGAAGGCGAGTGCTGTGGAAGGTGCCTGCCGTCTGCCTGTGAAGTGGCGATTGGCTCACCGCGGGGGGACTCCCAGACTTCCTGGAAGAGTGTAGGTCTGGGCGCAGGGGCAGGTGGGAAAGAGGGCATTGACGTCACCAGCCTGGGAGTCCATGTCCAGCATTGACCTTGGCTCATCTCTAAATAGGAGCATGTTCCCTGTCCTTTGTTTACCCCATGGGGAGTTTAATCCAGCTGTTGGTAAAATCCAGATGTCAGCTAGGATTACTTTGCCCCTTAGGAACTAGATAAGATTGCCTCTGACTTCCCATTTTGTGGATTTTAGGAGAAGTTCAATTCCCTCCCAAAGATTTCTGTGAAGTCCCAGGGGATTGATGGTCTCTGGTCATCTGAATCTGAGGCCTGCTTCCACTGAGTGGCTGGTTTGGGGAGGCCTCACCCTCCTGCAAGTGCTTGGCTCCTGGGACAACCATCACCCTCCATAGCCCCATAGGCTGCAAGTACTATTCTGCACCACAGTTGACCCAGGCATGGTCCTCAGACTTTCCACTGATTTCCATCAAAACTTCCCTGATGGTTTTAGAGAGGTGGAAATATTTATAACCGAGAGAAGCAAACAATATTTCTGTTCCTAAAAAGGCCCTCAGCTATTTCTGCAACTCTGGCTGTAGTGTCTTGCCATGTTGCCCTATCTCCCTACTCCTGTCTTCTCTTGGCCAGCATCCCATCACAGCCAGATCCCAACTCATTTGCTAGTGTAGAATGGCTTAGCTTTCTCTTTTGTGGGCTCTGCTCCTGCCCTCCTGCTCACAGGTGCTCGTGTTAACTCAGGATGCTCACCAAGCCATTTTCCCGAACACAGAGGATTCCCTTCTTGGGAATATTGGTCCAGATGCTGGGATAATAACAGTTCTTTTGCTCTGATTCATAAGAATGAAGCGGGTAGTGCTAAGTCCTGGAAGCCTCAGGAGATGGGTGCTGGAAGAATGGGAGGTGCACACATGGGCCTTCCCCTTCTGTCTCCTTTCAGTAAGACTGAAATATACTTTGATAAGAGAGGAAGGCAAAGGGTTAACTGTCTTGCCTTTGAACCTGTCCCATTCCTTTACCCAGGCCAGTTGCCTTTCTCTTTAGTGATAACAGAATGACTCATTTAGCTTTTTCCAGAGGGGTTTCCACCTCCCCACTTCTAATCTGAGTTTTGTGTGGATTTCCCTTCCATATGTGCCCCCCCTTCAGTTTGCCTGCTCCCCTCATCCTGGACTGAGGCAGGTTTTGGCCCTCCTCCCCAGGGCCAGAGCCCAGCTCAGACCAGAAGCTGATCTGTCCTGGTGGGGTCTGAGAGCTGATCCCTTTGAGCCTCAGTATTCCTGCTCCCATGGTCTCTCATCCCACTTTGGGGCTCACACAGCCCTACCCCACACAGCTTTTATCCCAACACAAGTGTTTATAAAACATAATGTGAGACTGAGCTTCTCTCTCCCAACTCAAGTCTCCATCTTACCTGCAAGACTTGGGTGTCAGCAATGGTTCTGATGCTGCTACTGCTGCTGGGAACATGTCAAGGATTCAGAGGGGGTTGTGGGAATGGATACTCTTATGGATCATCTTAATGGATCCCATGGCCAAGCTCATCAAGTAAGTAATCAGAGGAGGGACAGGTCAGAGGTTGGTCTCCTGCAGTGGGAAGGCCTGGTCGTGGTGATCCAGAGTGGGAGTGGAAAGAGAAGCTGCAAGTATCTGACATTTTCTGCTCCTCCTCATCTGGAAAGAGAAGAAAGTGAGCAGGAGCTGAGAGAAGAGGTCAGGGCCTGAAATGGGTGGGCAGTGTGCACCTGTTTACACATTTTGATCCTGGTCTAACAGACAGCACTCATTGTAACACACTTTCCAGGCAGAGTCTCTCTAGTGACTTTCTGAACCATGTTCTTGGCCACTTTCAGTGCTTTACATCTGTGGAGCAAGCCCTTGAGACCAGGCCACTCATCCACACCCCTGGATACCTCAGGGCCATATGGCAGAGCTGTAAGGGTCAGAGGCCAGCTCTATAGCCTCTTGCTACCTCCTCATAGGAGTGGGACATGGAGCCTGGCTGTTGAAATGGTTGACTCCCTCTCTGCACCTCCTTTATGCCAGCCTGTGCTGTCACTTCTTGGTCAGAGTACCCTTGAGTCTCTGAGCTCAGCACAAGCAATGTTGAGGCTAGAAGGGAGGGTTTCCTGGCTTTCCTAAGGGGCTCACTCAGGTGATTGAAGATGGTGGCTGTCAGAGAACAAGTGACTCAGCTAGGCTCTTGGTCCTGGTGGCTTTGACCCTGACTCACTGAAGGACCTGCAGTGAACTCCACTCATTCCCTCTGTGGGCCTTACCTGCCTCTTACCCAGAGTTGCTGCCTGGTGGGATTTGGGCACGAAGCTGGGGCCCACCTCCAGGACCCAAACGAGCCCCTTGAGAGAACACAGCACTCTCATTCTAACCTTGGGCGCCGATCTGCTGCAGCATGTGTGACTAACTCAGGTGCTCCACAGGTTGGCTCTCACTGGGCCTCCCCTGAGAATCCCTGTCTCCTCAACGAGTGTGTGCGAGTGAAGGAGGAGGTCTTTGTGCAACAGAGGAACGTCTCCTGTCCTCAGCTGGACATCCCCACCTGCCCCATGGGCTTCCAGTTAAGCTGCAAGACCTCCGGGTGTTGCCCCACCTGTCGCTGCGGTAAGGCATGCTGGCCAGGGGTTGGGCTGGGCCTGCGGCCCCACCTTTGAGCCTGTCTTCACCTACTGGCTCCTGAGTTCTTTCCCCTTTTCATAGTCAGGGAAATGGGCAGGATCAAAAGCTTCTCATCTGTGCCTAATGCTTCTGTGAGAAAGCAAATAAGATGAGAAAAATATAACAATTTCCTGAGGGCCACCCTATGCCCAGCACTGCGTTCAGTGAGGGCATTATACCATTATCTCATGTGATCCCGTGCGGTGGGAGCTGTTACTACCTCCATCTGTGCAGGTGAAGTTAGTGAGCAGTAGAGCTGGGATTTAATGCCAGGCTTCCCTTCTCTGATTCTAGAGACTACCTTCTCAGTCATATGCTGTATCACTTGTGATAGGGGAAGGTATTCCCTGGGTTGTGCAAAGGGTTAAGTGCCTGACTACTAGCCAAAAGGTTTTAGTTTGAACCCACCCAGGGGCACCTTGGAGGACAGGCCTGGCGATCTACTTCCGAAAGGATATGGCCTTGAAAACCCTATGGCGTGCAGTACTACTCTGCACACATGGGGTCACCATGAGTGGGAATCGACTTAATGGCACTAACAACAACTCCTGCCCACAAGCAAACAAATAAACAGTAACAAAAACCAAAGCCAGCTTTCTCCACTACCCTTCGCTGTATTCCTTGTGTGACTTTATCTTGGGACTTAAATTTTAAGGGTAGAAATTTATTCTGTCATAAACTCAAACATCCTCTCACTCATCACATCCTGTGAATTCACTTGAACAGTGCTGTCCTCTTGAGAGTGGACAGAGATCGTCTCACTGCAAGCTGGTTGGTGTGGAGACCCTCCCTCGGCAGGTCTGGGGGAGGAAGGCCCCAGGGACTCTGGCAGCAGGATCCATAAGCTCTGGAGGGAGGGCCGGGAGAGGACCAGCAGATGGAAGAGAGAGACCCAGAAGGGGAGAAGAAGGCCCTTAAGGGAAGCCACTGGGCCCTGCTCCAGTCCACACACCTGTTCTTGTCAGGCCGTGTTCTGCACATTCACGCTCTGCACTTCTCTCTCTTCCTCAGAGCCCGTGGAGGCCTGTGTGCTCAATGGCACCATCATTGGGGTGAGTGGTGGGACAGGAGCAGGGTGCTGTGTGAAGAGTGGGGCAGCCCTGGCGAGCCTGTCATTCTAAAGTGGAATGAAAGGAACCTGGGAGACCTGCCTCCAGCACACTTCCCATCACTGGCAGAGCCTCTGAAGCATCCAGGAGCCTAGGCTAGGACAGTCTTCTCTTTAGGCCTTAGGCCCTGCTATCTACCACTCACTTCTTGGCACTCATCCCTGCCACATGGCCATTCCTCTGCATACAGAGAAGTACCCAGAAGTCATTGTGCACATTCCAATCCATCTCCCACTCCCACTGGTTTGAAGCCCTCTTATCATTGCCATACTTGAGGTGGGAGGGCAGGACAGGAGACAGGAGGAGCATCAGGTGATGGCTCATGGCAGCTACAGGTGGGCAAGTGGACGAGTGGACGAGGTGAGTGGGAGGGTTAGGGGATCTGGGGAGGCCAGGGAAACCTGACCCTGGTGCCTTTGGTTCCAGCCCGGGAAGAGTCTGATGATCGATGAGTGCACAACTTGCCACTGCACCGTCCAGGTGGGGGTCGTCTCGGGGTTCAAGCTGGAGTGCAGGAAGATCACCTGCAAGGCCTGCCCACTGGTAAGACAGGGTCAGCAGGGACTGAGGGGATCCCCAGAGGGAGGGGACATACAGACCCAACACTTGTGTGACCCAAGCAATGGGACCTCCCTCTGGTCTTTAAATAAACCTTTCATTACTTTCTGATTATGGAAAATACTTGACAACTATAAAGAAGAGAGTAGAAGTTACCCACCAAACCATGCCCCTCAGAAATAATTACAATTTTGTTTTGTAAATTGTTAAACCTTTTCCTCCTGTGTTTTTTAATGAACATAATATTTACAATGCTTATGATACTATAAGGTGCCCTGGTGGTGCCATGGTTAAGTGCTTGGCTACTAACTGAAAGGTCAGTGATTTGAACTCACCCAGCAGCTCCCTGGGAGAAAAGACCTGGCGATCTGCCCCTGTAAAGATTACAGTCTTGGATACCCAATGGGCAGTTCTACTCTCTTCTATAGGGTTGCTATGATTGGGAATTGACTCAACTGCACGCAACAACATAATACTATGTTTACAGTTTACAGCATATATATATTTATACTTACAACAACATTATAAGAAACATCACTAACATTTTTTGAAAACATGAACAATTAATAAGTTAAGAAATATTTATCAGACACTATGTGCAAGACTGGAGCCCTGGTGGCACAGTGGTTAAGAGCTTGGCTGCTAACCGAAAGGTCGGCAGTTCGAATCCACCAGCGGCTCTTTGGAAAGCCTGTGGGGCAGTTCTACTCTGTTCTATAAGGTTGCTGTGAGTCGGAATCGACTCGACAGCAACGGGTTTGGTTTTTTGGTTTTATGTGCAAGGCTACATGACTATATAATATTTATTTGGATGGAAGTGTCTCAACATACACATTTTATTATTGGGACAGTGAGATGGTTTATTTTACCCTGATTTTGCCAGGTCAGGATGACTGTGTTTGCTCTGAATGAATGCTTCCTTAGAATGGATTCTGGGAAGGTCAGTCATCCTTTCTAAGTTGGTGAATGAAAAACGACAACTTCTTGTTTTAATTATGTCTTTTAGTCCCACTTCACTGGGATTTTATGATTCCCGTGTAGGTAAAGCTGGGTGTCAGAATAGGACCTGAAGCTCTGGAGAAGACCTTAGATTCTTCCTCAAACTCCACTCTGAGTTCAGGGCTTCTGCTGTTGTAGGAAGTACAATTTGTTCCATGAGTTTCTTGTGAATCAGATGTGCAAAGTATAGTAATAGCTCTTTTAGATGGCAAAAGGGAAGGGCTTCTCCCCTCATCTTTGTGACACAGGAGGCTGCAGCCACTGGGGAGTAGAGGGTGGGGAGGGGAGTCCATTATAGGCAGAGTAGCGTAGTCCAGAGGGGGCAGGGGTGTAGGGAGAGGATGGGGACTGGAACAGGAACAGGGTGGGAGCTGGTAGGTCATGCAGATACTTTGTTGCTCTTGAGGACGAGGGCCAAGTGTTCTACATGTATGTCCTGTATGACACTTAGTACAGTGTCATGTTCAAATAAGGCTTAATAAAATATATGTGGAGCAAATGGTTCTATAGGAGACACAGCTATTTCTGATAGATTGGTGCAGAGAGAACATTCCTCCCTTGAGTAGAAGAAAGCCAGTGAAGCATATGCTTTTGTTTTTTTTTTTAATCTCAGTTGATGTTTTAGAGTTTTGGTGCAGTTTGTGTGTGTGTGTGGCTAACTCCCTAGAATACATTTGGCTTGAACATGGAGTAAGATAATGCTGTCTGGGGTTATGTGGCACCCCCTTTCTATGAATGTTCATTGAACTGCCGTCTAGGCAGTGATGGAAAGAGAGGTAGGCCATAGCTTGCTTTCTACAGGGTGAGCCTGCTGACTCCCCAAAGGCACTCTCTGGTGGTCAGAAGGCAGCATAGTAGCCTCCTCTACATCCTGAGAAATCCTGCTTTAAAATCCAGTCTAGATGTAGGTTTCAAAATATTTTCTAAATATTATACTTAAATCCCTTTCAGCTTTTGTATTTTTCCTCCTTTCCTCTGAAATTCTGAAGTCTCCTCAGGGCAATGTCCTCATCTCCTCCTTCTTAAGAACTGCTACATGAACTCTCCTGTGCATCTCTCAACTTTTTTTTTTTTTAAATTGATTGAAGTTTATTTAATATAAAAAAAAACCTGTTGCCGTCGAGTTGATTCTGACTCATAGCAACCATGTAGGACAGAGTAGAACTGCCCCATAGGGTTTCCAAGGAGTGCCTGGTGGATTCGATCTAGCGACCCTTGGTTTAGCAGCTGAACATTTTTTTTTTTTTTGGTTATTTTATTTAATTGTTGTGCTTTAAGTGAAAGTTTACAATTCAAGTTAGTCTCTCATAGAAAAATTTATACATATATTGTTATGTGGCCCTAGTTGCTCTCCCGATACTGTGACAGCACTCTCCTCGTTTTCACCCCAGATTTCCCCTGTGCATTCAATGAGCTCCTGACCCTCTCTGCCTTCTCATCTCATGTCTGGACAGGAGCTGCCCATTTAGTCTCATGTATCTACTTGAGCTAAGAAGCACACTCTTCATGAGTATCATTTTATGTCCCACAGTCCAGTCTAATCTTTGTCTGAAGAGTTGGCCTCAGGAAAGCTTTTACTTTTAGGCTAACAGAGAGTCTGGGGGCCATGTCTTCCAGGGTCCCTCCAGTCTCAATCAAACCATTAAGTCAGGTCTTTTTACAGAATTTGAGTTCTGCACCCCACTTTTCTCCTACTCCATCATGGACTGTCTGTTGTGTTTCCTGTCAGGGCGGTCATTGGTGGTAGCCAGGCAACATCTAGTTCTTCTGGTCTCAGGCGAATGCAGTCTCAGGTTTATGTGGCCCTTTCTGTGTCTTGGGCTAATACTTTCCTTGTGTCTATGGTGTTCTTCATTCTCCTTTACTCCAGGTGGGTTGGGACCAATTGATGCATCTTAGATGGCCGCTCGCTAGCTTTTAAGACCCCAGACATCAGTCACCAAAGTATGATGCAGAATATTTTCTTAATAAACTTTGTTATGCCAGTTGACCTAGATGTTCCCTGAAACCATCATCCCCAGACCCCTGCGCCTGCTACTCTGTCCCTCAAAGTGTTTGGCTGTATTCAGGAAAATTCTTAGCTTTCCTTTAGTCCAGTTGTGCTGACGTCCCCTGTAGGGTGTGCTGTCCTTCCCTTCATCTAAGATAATTCTTGTCTACTATCTAGTTAGTGAATAACCCTCTCTCTCCCTCCCCACCCTCGTAACCATCAAAGAGTGTTTTCTTCTGTGTTTAAACCTTTTATTGAGTTCTTATAATAGTGGTCTTATAAAATATTTGTCCATTTGCAACTGACTAAATTCACTTCCATAACGCCTTCGTTCCTCCATGTTATAAGATGTTTCAGGGACTCCTCATTGTTCTTTATAGTTGCATAGTATTCCACTGTGTGAATATACCATGATTTGTTTATCCATTTGTCCTTTGATGGGTACCTAGGTTGTTTCCATCTGCTATTGTGAATAGTGCTGCAGTGAACATGGGTGTACATGTATCTATTTGTGTGATGGCTCTTGTTTCTCTAGGATATATTCCAAGGAATGGGATTGCTGGATTATATGGTACTTGTATTTCTAGCTTTTCAAGGAAGCATCAAATCGATTTCCAAAATGGTTGTACCATTTTACATTCCCACCAACAGTGTGTAAGTGTTCCAGTCTCTCCACAACCTCTCCGACATTTATTATTTTGTGTTTTTTTTGGATTAATGCTAGCCTTGTTGTGGTGAGATGGTATTTCATTGTAGTTTTGATTTGCATTTCTCTAATGGCTAATAATCATGAGCATTTTCTCCTGTATCTGTTAGCCGCCTGAGTGACTTCTTTTGGCGAAGTGCCAGTTCATATCCTTTGCCCATTTTTTAATTGGGTTATTTGTCTTTTTGTTGTTGAGGTTTTCAAGTTATCTTGTAGATTTTAGAGATTATATGCTGATTGGATTTGTCACAGCCAGAAGTTTTTTCCCAGTGTGTAGGTTGTCTTTTTACTCTTTTGGCTAAGTCTTTTGATGAGCATAAGTATTTGATTTTTAGGAGCTCCCACTTATCTAGTTTCTCTTCTGGTGTGTGTGCATTGTTACATACGGTTTGTATTCTTTTATGCCATGTATTAAGGCTCCTAGCGTTGTCCCTATTTTTCTTCCATGATCTTTATCGTTTTCGATCTTATATTTAGGTCTTTGATCCATTTTGTCTTAGTTTTTGTGCATGGTGAGAGGTATGAGTCTTGTTTCATTTTTTTGCAGATGGATATCCAGTTATGCCAGCATCATTTGTTAAAGAGACTGTCCTTTCCCCAATTAACTGACTTTGGGCCTTTGTCAAATACCAGTTGGATGAATTTAAGTCTGGATTCTCAATTCTGTTCCATTGATCTATACATCTGTTGTAGTTCCAGTACCAAGCTGTTTTGACTACCATGGCAGTATAGCAGGTTCTAAAATCAAGTAGTGTGAGGCCTCCCACTTTGTTTTTCTTCTTGAGTAATGCTTTACTTATTTGGGGCCTCTTCCCTTTCCATATGAAGTTGGTGATTTGTTTCTCCATCTCATTTAAAAATGCCATTGGAATTTTGATTGGGATTGCATTGTATCTGTAGATCGCTTTGCGTAGAACTGACATTTTCACAATACTGAGTCTTCCTATCCATGAGCAAGATATGTTTTTCCACTTATGCAGGTCTCTTTTCGTTTCTTGCAGTAGTGTCTTGTAGTTTTCATTGTATAGGTCTTTTACATCTCTGGTTAGATTTATTCCTAAGTATTTTATCTACTTGGGGGCTATTGTAAATGATATTGATTTGGTGGTTTCCTCTTCAAGGTTCTCTTCGTTGGTGTAAAGGAATCCAACTGATTTTTGTACGTTTATCTTGTATCCTGATACTTTGCTGAAATCTTCTATTAGTTCCAGTAGTTTTCTTGAGGATTCTTTGGGGTTTTCTGTGTATGAGATCATATCATCTGCAAGTAGAGATAAATTTACTTCTTCC